GGGGCTTCACTCACAGGGGTACTGACAGGGGGAGAGGTGGGGCTGGGCAGAAGGTGCCGCCAAGGCCCCCCGCTGCTCCTGCGGGCCTCCCACCCCTCGCCTGCCGCTCAGGCTGCCCGCTCCACCTTCCAGACCGAGCGAGCTGGTCTCCTGGCCCCGCTGCCCAACGGAGGAAAGGGAACCAGGTTTCTCTGTCCTCAGGCCTCTGTCTGGACCCAGGGGAGGTGAGCGCCAGCAGGGCTGGGTGCCCGGCTCGTGCCTTGGGCGGTGTCTCCTCAGCCTGAGCCCCTCCTGGGCCGCGGCACCTGCCGGCTGTCCTGGAGCTGGGGAGCCTCATGCCCCAGCCCAAGTGCCTGGGCAAAAAGCCCAGCAAGGGCAGCAGAGGCTGCCCTGGGGCACAGGTTGGGAAGCCCCTGCCCAGCCAGGGGCTGTGTGGGCGAGGCTGCTCAGGGGCAGTGGCGAGAACAGCAGGAGCTGGACGTGCGGGAGGCAGGCTGGGCCTGGGGGTCACTTGGGCCCCCAGCTGCAGCTCTGCCCTCTCTGAAGGAGGCCAGCAGGGTTGTGCCTGGGAGACTATACGGTGGAGGCCGAGGTTGGGCTGCAGGAGGCAGGGGCAGGACGTGTGGCTGGAGCTTCCTGATGGGGACAGTCGGAGGTGGGGGCCCAAGTCAGTGGCAGGGTGGCAGGAGATGGAGCCCCTGGCTGCAGTTTGAGGAGAGAAGCCAGGGACCCCCCGGGACAGGGAGCAAGGCACGTCTCTGGGATGCTGCTGCCCGAGGGTGGGCGGGGCCCCAGTCCAGGCCGGCTCCTAGGGGTGACGCCGCAGTGGCAGTGAGGACCTTTCTGTGCAAGTGAACTGAGTCGATGGAAGAACCTCAGTGCCATCGGGCAAAGTTTTCTCAGCCTGCTGCCTTGCGCGGCCGCAGGCCCGCTGGCCAGGACGCAGCTGCCGGACCTGGCACCTCACGAGGCGGCCGCCCCGCTCGCCAGGCTGGAGCCGGGGGAGCC